ACTTGTTATGACTTCTCTCTCTCGCGTATTCCGTTAAGACCCACCCCATCTCACTCCTCGTGCTGAAACCTGGTGTTCACTCTCTGTCCTAAACGGATTGTTGGAGCTCGCCCCCCTGTGAGCCCAGTGTGCTCTGATTGGTCAAGCGACGTGCAACTGCTCGCGAGGAGCTGCTGTGAGGAACAGACAGGGTTTCCGTGTCGAAGATAGATACAGTCAGAGTAGGGGTGGGTCTTCACAGAATACGTTTTGGGGAACAAAATCAAGCTTTTTAAAAGGCTAGTGGATTTTGGCAGGCAGTGAGTGCGGACAAACGATTGAACGATAACAAGAACGGCTCTCACCAAGTACGACTCGGTTCCCCTCGTTCATATCAAAGAGCCGTTCAAAAGAATCGGCTCGTTCGCGACCGACACATCACTACTTCTGATCCTGAACCAGGGGGAAAAATTATAGTGATCGGTGTTACTTTAATAACCAAACTTCAAGAGCCGTGGTCTTAAGTTATTGCATTTATAAAGTTTAAGTGGAATAGGGATAACAATAAAAGTATCTACATTATATATCCAAATATAGCCTATGTTTGGAAAGTTGTACGAACAAACACAAACTAACTAGTACTTATGGACATTATTTTCCATTTACAAGGAATATAGTAGGCTACCAGAAAGAAATATTTCACAGTTAGGTGGCAAATGACGATCCATACAAATGACTGTTAGACTTCTTTGAGACAATCCGGTCTACTGCCAGAGGAGGCAGCAATGCGACATGACCGGCTGCCGTGACGCACTAACGAAGAAGAAGATATATCGCCCATGATCGTCCATGTGGCTCCTTCTGAGACAGAACAATTCAATGATAGCTTAACATCAACTTAATCAATATAATAAAACCAACAGCAGTGGTGGTGGTGAAGCTGTCAGCAGCTCCGCGGGGAACTCAAGATGCAATGCGACGACGTAAGTTTGTTTCATCAGATTTAAAGCTCCTCATGTGCTAGGCTAGTTCTTCATGCTAACCGGCAGCTATTTAAAAACGGATACATATATTTATTTTATTATAAATAATAATAGTTTAGTGCCTACGTTAGCTATTTAACATATGGGGGTGAAAAGGTAGTGTTTAACAGTATTTGAGACACTTTGACACTAAGCTAGGGAACCCATTATTTTGTATGTAAAATGTGACACCAACCCATGTGGTAAAAAGTATATTTCCAGGTTGTCTTGCTTGTATGTACAATTGCAGTGGTTTTAAAACGTGTATAGATCCCCCTTTTGGTAGAGTCGTATTTGAATTTATCTCGGCAACATTTAACAACTGGAATCATAGGAATTACATTTTAAATATCTCCTGAGCTTGTTAGTATATGGACATTGTGGCATGAATAGTATTTGAGGCAGTCAATATACTAGTTGTATGTCCAATGTCACGCCAAACTCCATTATAAAAAGGTCTTCGTCTAGCTTCTCTGTAAACTTGCAGATTTGTCAGAACATGAGTCGACACACACATTAAGAATGACATTATATTTTATTATTATCTTATATTTATTTACAGTACATCTTTGAAAAGTACAGTATATTATCATTATGTTTCCCTTTCCTTAGTTTCCCAGTAGAAAGCGTTTACAGATAGATTTTTTTGCTTTGAAAATATTTTTTATTCATAATATTAAAATATAGTCTCTGGTTGTCAACTCATAGAGTCCTGTTGTGAAACCGGAAATGTAGATTTTATCTACGTTTTATGATAGAAATGTATGGTTGGGGTCCCCAGCACATTGAAACTGCTGGATGTTAACATGTCTTTGTTGGGCAATTTGTACAATAAGCATAACACTGTTAGACTGTCACAGAAGTAATGTCTGATGATCTCCTAATAGTGTATATTTTTTCTGTAGTTATTGACATTGTAGCTCAGCATAGTTTAAACGAAGCATTGCATACCCTTCCCTCGTCTAACGTGGTTAGCCTAACCACCTTAAGCCTATCAATGACAGAAATGTAGCTAACTGACTACCTTTTAATAAGTTTATTAGTACAACAAGATTATATAAAGATGCACTTTGTGGAATATTAACCAGGGAGTATGTGATTGCGTTTTAATTATATTAGAAGTATATTTTAGTTTTGCATACACACATTTGCAGAGATTAATCCCACACAACATTTGGATAGTGTGTGATGCTGTGACCAGAAGAGCGTTGAGAGCTTTTTAAAAAAAAAAGTAACACGAAAGAATTAATATTTGGTGAACACTTAAGCTGTAGCAAATAAAAAGGCTCCTAGTATATGACTGTAATGTTTTGAATCTGCTTCCTGCAGGTAATCTGGGACATTATCGGGAACAAACAGTTCTGCTCCTTCAAAGTCAAGTAAGTCTGAATCTTAATCTGCTCAAATTCATGAATTGAATAGATAGTTGTGCAGCTAGTTGATGAATTTGTCACTACTTCAAATCTCCATCTCTTTTTTGACTTACAATTGATGAAAGGAATTGGACCTATGTGCCTAAATGCAACAGTGTTAACTGCACTGATAACATCTTGTCTCCTCTTTCTGTCTAGGACCAAGAGTCAGAGCTTCTGTCGAAATGAATACAACATCACAGGGCTGTGCAACCGCTCGTCCTGCCCGCTGTCCAACAGTCAGTACGCCACGATCAGGGAGGAGAAAGGTAAACCCGTCATACATTTCCACTTTAAAGGGGCCTATTCTGTTCAGTGTTTCCCCTACCATTGTCTTGGCGGGGCGCTGCGCCCTGCCTACAGAGCCCCGCGCCCTGCCTGAAATTCAAGGTGTTTTTTTTGTTTGGTTTTTTTATTTAAATTTTTTTTTTTATTATTTAAAAAAAAGAAATGCAACTGAAGTAATCTATCTACGGTCACGTTTCACATTGAACATGTGCTCTTTTATTAAATAAACTAAACGCCTATGTTATTTATCCAATGTGCATGTTTCAGTGTCCACTGCCTTCTTGCGTATTCACATTCTCCCTCCGCTCTGCTCCCCC